AGAGAGAGAGAGAGAGAGAGAGAGAGAGAGAGAGAGAGAGAGAGAGAGAGAGAGAGAGAGAGATTGTAATGTTGGTGACGATTTAGAAAGAGTTGTGATGTTGTTGGGCACTCTCCCATCTCTTCCTCTCTCTGTCCCTCTCTTTCTTTCTCTTCGAACTCCTCCTCTAGTCTCAAGTCTCTGACGCAAGACAAGGCGGCCGGCATCAGCATGTACGCTTCATTTTGACTCAGGTTAGGATAACGGACCTCATATGTGTTGAACAACATGACTGCTCTTCGTGGACCGTCTCCTGCATGATGACTATCACGCACGATAACATCATGCAGGAGATGATCCACGAAGACCAATCATGATGTCCAACACATATCAAGTCCGTTATCCTAACCCTAGTCAAAATGCCTCTCTCTCTCTCTCTCTCTCTCTCTCTCTCTCTCTCTCTCTCTCTCTCTCTCTCTCTCTCTCTCTCTCTCTATGTGTGTGTTTCTACCCAGGCCGCGGGTCGTCGTTTTCCGGAGGAGCAGATGGATCCGGAATGAAGCCAACATAACCATCGTCCGACGGGTTCGGCCAGCGCATCCGCATGGCCTCCTCGAACTCCGCCGGCAATCGCTGGCGTCGTCCGTAGCCACAGAGGGCCGCGAACTCCCTGTACCGCGCGAACCTGTTTGACGCCGCGGGCAGGCGGTCGTCCCCCACAAGCGTCTGCATGAACTCGTCCATCCTGTCCTCTCTCTCGACGAACTGAACCCCAGTCTCAACCAAAAAGGCCGGATGTGGCCATGCAGCTCGCATATCCGCCGCGTCCATATGCGGTGCGGGAGGACCTGCTCGGCGCACAACATGCAGGCCCTGTCGATGGCGCAGACCGTCACCTCTCGGCCCTAAGCCCGCTCCGCCTCGACCACGCATCAATCTCCGACGTCTCGCTCGGTGGCCGTACTCCATGAAATCGTCCTCGTCCTCACGGCCATCAGGTTGAGCACGCCGGTCCATCACGCTCCCGAAAAGCTCTCGATCTGTAAGCAGTGCGGCGAAAAATTAGCGCATGCCACGACAGCAAGGAATAAACATGGTAGAGAAATCCTTGCCATTGCAAACAAAATAAGGCTGAGACACAATAAGGCGCCACACGTCGTCTCGAGCAACCGTGCCATAATGTGTTTTGAACAACCGATGCACAAGCGGGTACATGATATCATACAATTTTTAACCTTGTACGGGATTGAGAACGAGGCTACTGAAGTATGATGTCGGCTTTGACATGCGCACCCGAATGTGCTCTATGGCATGATACCGAATGTACGTCTCAGTTGTTAGTCTTATGACTCTATCCTCTTCAACGCTGACAACGAAATGACGGACCTCCATCTTGTCTCTGTTTCGGAACTCCACAACCTCGTCGACCTCCTCTGTCACAGGCATTGCTGACTCGTAATAAAAAACGGTATCGCCTGTGGGTAGTTTCGTCGTATGGAAGCATTGAAAAATAAGCGGCGGCCACAACATGGTCGCTGGTTGTGGACGGGGATTTGACAGTGCTACAGATGACAGAAAGCAATGCGCGAACACTGTATTCAGTTTGCATGCATAGTGGATTATATACACATCACAAAGGACAATAGCAAAAGGAACAACGTCATGTGCTGCAAAGCGTACGCATGTCATCAGCGGGCATGTGGGTTGCGAAGGGGGGGCGTCCGCACCTCATGAGGATGATATCTAAACCCATGAAGATTTTTTTTGCTTTTTCTTGTCAATGGAATATTCGCCCCTCAACTGCCCTACATAGTGTTGAGTATTGGCCGAAGAGACAGATGCAGACACCCCACAATCGTCAAGTGAACCGCGCAATGAGCTGGGCGTTCTCGTGCTACTGCTCGATTGGGACGCCCCTGGTTTCGGTAGCGAAAAACTGAGGCTGATGTTTGCCCCCGGCTGCACACAAGCGACAAAGTCCTCGCTGTATGCCCATGTCGCAGGGGCGACTGCATTACCACTCGTTTCGGCGATATGCAATCGTTGCTCACGGGTGACACACAGTGCCTCACGTTCACCGATCTCTTTCGTCTTCTTCTGGAGTGACGACATAACGGATCGCATCTGGGAATAAGACGTCGTTAGAACTGCACACGTGTTGTTCAGGTCCGTTATCACTTCCCGTAATTCTTTCTCAATTGTGTCAATGTCTTTAGGGGGTTCTTCTGCACGGTCCTGCAGCCCTTCTCCGTCATCCCACACCCGTTCCATATTCCGGTACATGCGGTCGTAGAGAGACGTCTTTGGTCGTTGCGGACGACGTTCCATGACGCGTTTCAACAATGGGGGATGTTATCTGCGGAAACAACGAACACGAAGGATGCGAGGTGAGCGCATAACGAAACAGGGTGAAAACGAGACCCGCATGCCAACAAGAAGGATGTTGCATACGAGCACACAGGCAATGCTTAGCGCGGAAGGCTCAAAATGTCCAGATGGTGGAGGCAAGGAAACGTGCGTGGACCCGAAGCGAATTTATAACTGCATGGACCGACGGAGAGAAAGTGCATGGGTGGATGATATGACGGATGTGCGAGAGAGCAATGGTTGCAAAGGTGGACATGCGTACAGTGGGAGAGCGACAACCACGCACGTTTAKAGGCTCYGATGGTGCAAACACAAGTGACCTGCGAACCATACGCAGAGAGGAGGAAGACGACAACGAACGACGAGCCGTATATATAAATGTCTCTTCTTGCGTGGACTCACTAAAGTCAGGCCTTCGGCTTCGCCCACTTCGTGTCCTGAGGTTGTCGGGAAGTCCACGGGGGAAACTGGTCACTTGATCCAGTGAAACCCCGCCAAATAGGTAAGAGAACTCAAAGCAAGTAGAGTTAGTGAGCCGTGTAATGGGCAACTATTTCACGAATTCAAGATCAAAAGTTTTTGGACTTAATAACATTTTTCATCAAACGAGATGCCAAAATGTTCAGTCAAATTATTCTGCCTGAATTAGACATTCAATTGAATGAGGTATGCACAGCTTCTCAAAACAAAATACAGACTTTGATAAACAAAAATACAATTCTAAGCTAAGACATTGAGGCCGTTGGTTGGTCGCGTTATCTCATTGGAGTATAGCCAAGTGGAAAGGCATCGGTTTTTGATACCGACATGCAAAGGTTCGAATCCTTTTACTCCAGCGATTAATTCCAATTCAGTTTTTGTTTTGAAAGCTGACGTATTAAACTTCGGAAACCTCCAAAAGAAGCCAAAACAAAACCTATCCAAATACAAAAAATGAAAGGTAACTTCATTATGGTAGTATACCAACTAGTTTCAAAACTTCCAGTTCCTATCAAAGCATAGAGATCTGTGAAAAAGTTGGTATGTATAGCCACTTTAGTAGTACTGGTTTCTGGATTCGAAAAACAGAATCTTTTTTTCTGGAAACATAACAAAGCTATCAACACTACGCGTCAAATCTTCAGTATATATATATGTATGTGTCTATTTCACTGACTCAACACAAGTCTGAAAATGCCGATATATATATATATATATATATATATATATATATATATATATATATATATATATATATATATATCGGCATTCGGGGTCGCGGAAACTCCGACGAAACAGTTTGTCACAGCCCCTCGTTTGTTGTCCTCTTCTCCCTCTTTGCCAACGGATTGCCGGGCAGTTCTGTTTGTGACGATATATGTTTACATTTGTCGCAATTCGCTATCAAGTACAAAACAAAAAAATAACAAATTGCGGAAGGTGGTGGTGTTGAAAACGTGCTCGCCGCTACACTAAGTTGCAAGGTCTCTTCCGATTCACTTCATATAATTTTTCCTATTATTATGTTTTTGTTGTTGTTTTTTTTCCGGCCCCTCGTTCGGCCAGAACGGCCGAACGCATTCACAGTAGGGGGCCGAACCGGGGGCAGGTTCGGCGGCTGTAGTTGGGCCGACCCCGAATGGCGATATATATATATATATTGAGATATTCGTAGGCATACACATACGCAACATTTTATTTCAAAATTGTCAAAAAACAAAATTTTCGCTTGTTTTGGTTCATGTTTTGGTACAGGGCAACTGCATATATATATATATGTATATATATATACCGGGCAGTTCTATTTGTGACGATATATATATATATATAGAGAGAGAGAGAGTCCTCAAAGCGCAAGTGAAAAAAAAACAAGGGAATCAAATATCCATTCCTTTTTTTTTTTTTCTCGCACGTGCGCTCTCATAACAGTGTGGCCATATATATATATATATATATATATCTTATTATTTATATATATATCTTATTATATTATGACGATATATATATATATATATATATCTTATTGGCCGGGTTCACATGCCCGACCATGCTTTACAAATTTATAAGGGGAAAAAAAAAAAAACTAACGACAAAAAATTCCATACATTCCGAATTTCAAACTATGTTATGCAAAAACTATGTTATGCCTCGGGGTCACATCGAAATTCCTCAGTAATTTCAAAACTACAAACATATTATCAAAATCTGATTTTGATTTTATTTTATTTTATTTCTTCCTTTTTGTAGTTTCAATGCGGGATATATGAGCACGCCCATCTCTCGTAACATATATGTAAATATATCGTCAAATAGAACTGCCCGGTAAACCGTAGGCAGAGAGGGAGAAGAGGACAACAAACGAGGGGCTGTGAAAAACTGTTTCGTCGGAGTTTCACCGACTCATCAGGAGGCTGTATATATATATACCGGACAGTTCTATTTGTGACGATATATATATATATATATCGTCACATATATATATATATAAATATATATATAGGAATCATCATCCAATGTCTTCATGACGAACAAGGCTATCTGCTGTGTATAGATATTATGTATGCGGGACTTTTTTTTTTTTGTTTTTTTTGCAGACAAATAGTGTTTTGACATCCTGGTTGGTCTTGTCCCGTTGTTAGGCCTGTGTTGTGCGTAGGGGCGGTGCTTGTATATGGGACTTGTCATCTGGGATCTGTTGTGTTGCCCCCTCTTCTGTTTTAATACGTTGTTCCCTTCGTCTTTCTTTGCCTCTTTGCCTTTGGGCTGTGTGCAAGCGGGTCCATATGACACAGGGGGGTGGGTGCAGCCACCGCTCAACCTACATCCACATGGTCCTCTTTCGTACGCAAGAGGTTCTGAACGGGGGGAGTTGTAAGAAAGAAAACAAAAATAAATTGATTTTTTTTGTTTCCCTTTTTTGTTTCCCTTTTTTTTTTCCCTTTTTTTTCGCTGTTGCGCTCTGTTATATATATATATATATGTTACCAGAAAGAGCCGTGCTCACATATATAATAACTATACATAGTTGACCCTTGGTTCTTTCCAGTTCTCTTGATTTTGCATACGTTTTCCTTCTACGATTGGTGGAATTAGAATTAGGGTCTCTAATTACGGCTACTAATTAGGGTTGATAAACTTGGCGCAATGTTTTAGTGAGAATTGCTGCGGATAGCTGTCGATTGATTGTGTGGTGGAACATAGTGGCGCTCTCAACGTGCTTGGCCGCTAATGCCCTGCCCGCTGAGAGCCCCACCTTACTTTTTGTGAGGGGCGCCGGACCCGCTTTTCGGCTTTGTATAATGGAATTTGTTTCTTTGTAAAAAAATAAATAAATCCCACTTACATAATATCTATACACAGCGGAGGAATTTTTATTTTTTTGTATTTCTTGTTTTCATTCATCTTACGTTCCGCTGCCCGCATTCCATATATACACATGCCGTCAAATAACACGAGAGCGGCAATGCAAAAAAAAAAAAACAAAAAAAAACAAAAAAAAAACACCAACAAATTGAGATCAAACTCCCCCTGTTCAGACCCTCGGCCGTTTTGTCGCATACTTATCACAGCAGTGCATCTGGATGACTGGTCCGAAACCAAAGGAAAAAAAAATAACAAAAAAACAAAGAGCAAAAAAACACAAAGAAAGCAAAACAAGAACATTGAGATGAAGAAGAAGAAGAACAAGAAGAAGAAGAAGAAGAAGAAGAAGATGAAGAAGAAGAAGATAGGGCAATTTTGCAAACGAAATGACACACCGGACACATTATTGCATAGTCAAAATTAAAAAAAACGAATGTTCATTTCCCGAACCACGGCCAATATCAGCAACAGCGTGAGAAAATACAAAATAAAACGAACGGTAATACCGAAGCTTCACCCACACACGTCAGGAAGGCCCTGCCACCCATCAACATGGCAGCCTTCTCTGCCGTCTACAAGCTGTCGACCATAGTGTCACCCGCACGCACCACCGAAGAGGGTATGGACACCTTATTCAACTTCGACTGAGAGCATGGACTTAATATTATTGCAAGCAATTCTCGCTTTTCTTGTCCATTTGTTTGTCTTTTCTGACGCCCATCTCCCTTCAGACAAATGAAT